AGATATAGATATATAAACATATATACATATATATATATAGATCTATAAAATATATACAATATATATAGATATAGATACACTAGATACTATACTATTATATATATATATCACATATATACATATATATAGATATATATAGACACATAATACATCTATATATTATATATATTATATCTATACACATAGATACATAAGAAGATTAGATATATATATATATACACAGATATACTAAATATGGTGATCTATATATATACACAATATTACAGTAGATAATACAAAGATTATAACATATATAATATATATCTATTATAGCGTATATATAAAAATACTAGACAGAGATAATATAGATATATATACACATAGATAAAGAGATAAGATACATATACATATAACACATATATTACAGAGATAGAGAGATACATTTATACACACATAATACAGTCATAGATAGAGATATGATATACACAGAATAAGATTATATATACCGATATAATATTGACACAGAGAGACTATGATAGAGATGAGATAGAGAGATACACAGATCGAAGATATGAATATAAGAGATAGACACACATATACAATATTAGAATATAACAGACACAGAGATTATAGAGAGGATATATATAGAGATACAAGAATACAGAGATATATATAGAGACATACAAATAGATACATAAGATATATAGGATAATACACAGAGATAAGAGAGTAACGGATAGACACAGATACACATAGAGAGATATATGTTATGTTGAAGACACATAGATACATAGACGATTATATATATACACCATTATAGTACAGTCGAGAATATTGAGAGATACACATAGTATGCATATAGATATAGAGAGACACTCAGATATACAGATATATTATAGAGATCATACATGAATACATATATACTCTAGTATATATACACATATATACCATATAGACATATATATATAACACATATAGACAGATACTATAATAGATATATACACATATAACCACTAAGTAGAGAGATATATAATATCGCACACATATATACATATCTATATATATATAGATATACACATATTTTATACATATATATATATATATATATACACATGATATACATAGATATATATATATATATTATCCATATATACATATAGATATATAGAATATAGACACATAGACACTTATATAGATATAAATATATACACATATATACATTATAGCTATATATACATAATACAAGATAACATATATATATATATTATATATATACGCATAATACATATTATATTATATATAACACATTATATAATCATATATATATACATACAATTAGTACATATATATATATATATATAAAATATAGACATTATATATATATATATATTACACATATATACATATATATATATATATACACATATATACATATATAATATATATATAAACATATATAATCTATATATATATATATACACAGATATACATATATATATATATATTATATATATACACATATATACATATATATATATATAGATACACAATTACATTATATATAGTATTATAACACATATACACATATATATATATATATACACATATATACATAATACATAATATATATACACATATATAACATATAAAACATATAGATATATACACATATATACATATTTATATATATGATATATAATTATATACACATATATACATATATAGATATCTATATATATATACACATCTATACCTATATATATATATATATATATATACAAATATATACATATATATATATTATAATTATATACATCAGACGACATATATTATATAGTATATATATATATACACATATACGACTATACTATAGATATATAACAAATAATACATATACTATAATATATATATACAAATATTAAATATATAGAATATATAACACATTATATACATATATGTATATATAATATACACAATATATACATGATATATATATATATATATACACATTTATATACAATATTATATATATATTACACATATATACATAATATATATATATATACACATATATACATATATATATATATATATATAAACATATATAAATATATAGATATATATACCACATATAACATATCATAATATCTATATACACATATATACTATATATATAAGTTATAATACAACATATATACTATATATTATCTATATAGTACACAGATATACAGATATATACTATTATATACACATATATACATCTATATATATATATATACTACACAGAGATACTATATAGAATATATATACCTACACATATATCATATATATATCTCATATATACACATAAATACATATAATATATATATTACACAATAATACATATATATATATATATACACATATTATGACATATATATAGATATATATTACAAATATATACATATATATATACTATATATACACATATATACATATATATATACTACTATATACCACATAGAACATATATATCATATATATACACATATATACATATATAGATATATATATACACATATATACAATATATACTATCTCATAGACACATATATACATAGATAAACTATATACAAACATATATACATACAGTATTATATCACTATCTACAAGTATAGATAGAGATACAAATATATACATGAATAGTATAGATAGTAGTACTCCATATATACAGATAATACATATAGATAGATTATACACAATATACATTAGCAGAGATAGATAGATAAACATATTAACATAAGATAGATATACACATAGGATACAGAGATGATATAGAGAGAGACAAGAGAGACAGATATAATATAGATAGACTAAGAGAGACCGAGAGAACGAGAGAGAGAGAGAGACACAGATAGGAAAGATTAGATATATAATAGACAAATAGGATACAGAAGAGAAGAGAGATACCACAGAATATACATATAATATAGATGATGAGATACACATATAACATATAGATATAGATGAGAGACACATAGATAACAAGAGACGAGCATATACTACACAGATAGAGCAGATACAGAAGATATATACACAGAGAGACACTAGAATGTATAGAGATGCGATAAACGATATAAGAGAGATAGAGATATATATACACATATAGACATAGAATATATAGAGACACAGATAGAAGAGATAGAGAGAGAGATACTCAAGATACATAGTATAGATATATATACACATAAGACATCAGAGATTAGATAGATATATATAGAGAACACATATATACAGCTATATATACTATATATAAACATATATACATAGATAGAGATCGAGAGTAGACACAGAGCTGAACATATAGATAGATATGACACAGAGATAACCAATAATATATACATAACAATATAGACAGGTATAGATATATAGATAAACATAGAGACATATAGTAAATAGTATAGACACATATATACATAGTAGATATATATATAGATATACACAATTTACAGATAGATAAGCATAGACAGATATATAGATTACAAAAATAGACATATATAGATATGCATACACAGATAGACATATATATACGATAGAACAGACAGAAATGACATAGATAGACATATACCACAGAGAGACTGATACAATATATACATAACAATCTAGACAATATACATAGCAACATAGACACGATATAACATATTTACATATAGATACACAGTATACAGATATATATCATACACATATACAGATATATATATATACACATATACAGAGAAGATAACAGATACATAATAGAGACAACATAGACCTAGGATATACACTATATACATATATATAGAGAAGACTAGATATATTAGATACTGTGGTAGATATATATATATATATATATATATATATATATATATATATACACATATATACATATATACATATACATGTATATATATATATACACATACATGTATATATATATACACATATACATATACATGTATACATATGTATATATATATATACACACATACATATAAATGTAAATATATATATACACACATATATATAAATGTATATATATATATACACACATAAATGTATATATATATATACACACACATAAATGTATATATATATATACACACACATAAATGTATATATATATATACACACACATAAATGTATATATATATATACATAAATGTATGTATATACATACATATATATGTATTTATATACATACATATATATGTATATATATACATATGTATGTATATATATACATATATATGTATTTATATACATACATATATATGTATATATATACATATGTATGTATATATATACATATGTATGTATATATATATACATATATATGTATATATATACATATGTATGTATATATATATACATATATATGTATATATATACATATATATGTAGATATATACATATATATGTATATATATACATATATATGTATATATATACATATATATGTATATATATACATATATATGTATATATATACTTATATATGTATATATATACACATATATATGTATATATATACTTATATATGTATATATATACTTATATATGTATATATATACTTATATATGTATATATATACTTATATATGTATATATATACTTATATATGTATATATATACTTATATATGTATATATAAATATATGTATACATACATACATATATATATATGTATATATAGATATATATATGTATATTTATATACTTATATATACGTATAAATATACATATATATGTATAAATATACATATATATGTATATATATACATATATATGTATATATATACATATATATGTATATATATACATATATATGTATATATATACATATATATGTATATATATACATATATATGTATATATATACATATATATGTAGATGTATATATATATATATATAAATCACACACACACACATCTATGAATGTGAATGTGTATATGCATAAAGGTGGGAGTTTCTTTTCGTGGTAGCTCCATTTGATTTCTGCCCTACCTTGTGTGGGTCTCCAGTGATGCGCAAAGGCTTCTCATTTTCCTGTTGTGGTCCATCTTGGATGATAACCATTTTGGCTCCAGACTTCTCTTGTAACTGCTTTATGGTTTCTCCTCCTTTCCCTAAGGTATGATACAAATGCAATATAGGTATTAACTAACAGTTTCCAATCCTAAAATACAAAAACTCAATTACTCTAATTTCCTTCCCATGAGCAACATGGTACTGATTAATTTCACATGAGGTACCTAATTTGCCTAAACATCTTCTAATAATGACTTGTGATTAATTACAACTAATTTTCCCTGAAGTATACAAAAACTTGCAACTGATGTCCTCCCAGCCACAAAACAGTTATGATTTTACAAGATTCCCAAAGACTTAAATTAGAGATGAAAGGAAAACAGATTGATGGAGTTTTTACTTTACTACACCCCAAAAGTGAGATATTATTAATACTATGATATTTATAATAATACTAAT